TCGTCTTGCAGTGTCCATAATTCTAACCATTCTGCTATTTTAGAAATAAAAATACGTGAAAGGTCCTTAATTAGTATGAATTTGGCTGTACCAGGTATTAGAACAGACAAGAAAAGTGGCGATACTTTGAAAATCAATTATCGATATTTTGTTAAACTTCGGAGGCTTAAAAAAAATAGGAAAAAATTAAAATTTTTGTGGATTCTAGTAGGGACTGTAGTTACAAATGTACTAAATGCGTACTTAAAATTTTGTGTCGATTAGTCAAGCAGATTTTGAGATATCATGGACACCGTTCTGAAAAACATAGTTTCAAGAAAAAAATGCCTTTAAAAAGTTTCATATAACTTTCAATTTTTCAAATGGAATATTTATTGTTTGTTCCCGAATTCAGATAAAGTGTTAAATTCTCCATGAAAAAGTATTTCACCAAATAGGGTCTAAGGTACATAGTTACCGAGATATTAGCGAAAGTAAATTACGTTTAGTAGGAAAGAGCATTAATCAACGTGACTGTTAACACAACGTAGTCAGACAACTTTGTTTACGAGCAGCCGATTAGTATTGGAAAACACAGTCCTAGATGCTACATAGGTAACGACGTATGTAACAACGTATTAGTTGTGCATGTTTTGCAATAACAGCAGAAACTCTTGCAAATGTTTTTTTGTTTTCTAATAATAAGATTATGTAAAATGGTATTGATTGTGACGGGTAGCAGTTCGAACATCGCTTAAAATAAAACTTAATTTGCTAATATCTTCATGTAGAATTCAACACTTTATTCGAATTCGGAAAGAAATATTAATGATCCTACTTCAAAAAATCAAGGTAACTTTCATATTTTGTTAAAAAGGTAATATAACATAAAACTGATTAGAGTACTGCATGTTGGAAGCCATGCAATTTCTATTTGAAACATTTTTTCGTACAACAAATATTTTATGAGTTATTTGAGGTCGTCATGTTACGAGACTCACCCTGTATACATATATTACACCCGCACGCGACCCTATAAATTGTAATTCCAGAAGTGGTCGCCATTAAGCAAAAACTTCTTAATAAATACCGCCTTTTCGTCGTTACGAAGCAACACAACTTTCTGGGCTGAGTAGGTTTAGTTCTAGCAAAATCGATGCACAGCGAATTTTTATAACCTGCGCAGGAAAATAGTTTAGTTGTAGGGTCTAGATCAGTAGAAATCCGTGGAACGAATCGAAAACAAGAATCTGTAGGTGATCTGTTTCGCTGACTGTACATTGCATGGAGATCGTTTCGACACGATTGAATGGATCGCTTTGACATTTCTCCTCTCGTCGATCAGCACAATGTTACTGAATCACGTGATCGAATGGAACATCATTGGGTCCATTCAATGCGGAACGGCTGTGATAATGGGTGCGGCGTAATGGCCGCTGGCGTTCCCCGTAACTAAATCATCTTGTAGACTCGGATTCGGTTCTTAAGCAAGGACGGAAACGGAACCTGGTAACTGGTAACGTCTCCTGCCTGCCCGACAGAGATACACTGATTATCGAGCGAGGAACTTCGACGACTTCGCGTTTTCGCCCATTGTTGATCGTCCGAGGATGCCGTCCAACAACATCCGTTCGTCTAAATTTAATTAATGGGGACGTATTTACGCAGATTACGATACCTAGAAACTTCATTTTATTGAATTAAGGTTAATGTAATATCGGTATTATTGATTTCATTAATATTTATTTTTGTATGTAATATGTCGAAACATATTGTTTTAAACATATTATATTTTGCATTATACTGGTTTAGAATATTTACTTTTGTACGTAACATGCGAAAACATATTGTTTTCAACATGTTTATTTTTGTATGTAATATACGAAAGAAATATTGTTTTCAACATATGTTTTCACACACATTATATACAAAAATAAATATCCTAAACCAGTATGATTCTGATAAATAGCACAACATTTTATTTAATAAAATAAACAATGCCGATGTTACATTAACTTTAATTCAAAAAAGGCAACCCTATTCTTGAAAATCAAGAAAAATGTATTGACCATTTAGATGCGAATAAAGAAAGCTACAATTAAAGCATGATTGAAGATAGTTAGCAATAAATGTAGCAATAAATTATGAAAAAGCGAGTGTAATTTTATTGAATTTTGCGTGCTTCTTCTAAAAGCATAGTCATTAAATAATTTGAATTCGCAAATAGAATTTCGTAGAATGTTCTGGCTGCTGACATTTCGTAGCGTCATTTATTTAAGTAGAAACGTGGATAGTTCATATTTTGCTTAACCCTTAAATGCATGATTTTTTGTTTTGAATTTTAAAAAATCGTTTTTTATAGGAATGTAGTCACATAGGTTACGTAAAAAATAAATAAAAAAATCTAGGTAATAATATTGAGTGTTTATTTTAAAAAAAGTTGTATGTAGACTTTTGGCAACAATATGCGTTTATTACTAAAATTATTGTAGACGTAAACAAATTTCCCAAAAATCTGGCATATATCCAATAAAATTTTCGAATGCAACATCAAACATTCATAGCTTACCTGACAACAGATGAGAAGTAATTTTTTTTCAATTAGATAAATCACTCCTTTATAGGAAACTCGGAAAAAGAAAATATCTCTCCAAGTAACGCATTGAAGGTTATCACCCACCACATTCAAATGTCAAAAAACATATAACTTACTCGCCAAAAGTAATGTCAAGTCTTTTATTTCACACATGGTCTATTGTATATTGTTATCAACGTGTGTTCGGAAACGCACATACTCAGGTTTTTGAATAAAATTAAGTGGAACTGGAATGTAGACAATTGGCAACAATATGCATTTAAGGGTTAAATTGTTATACATCTTCTCGGCTGTTTTAAAATAGAAAATGTTGCTACGATGATATTGATTGAGTACGAAAGTAGAAAATCTTGATATGATAGATGTGCATTATTTTTATTAGCGTAAACTTACCGAACAAATGTGAATTTTTTTACTCCTATTGGAATTAGAAATTATAACAAGGTCGGCTGTCCGAGGATGAATAAGTAACAAGAATTATACGAACTCTAATTGTAGAACATGTGGTCTAGGTTGAAAACCGCAGTGCATTGTTGTGTAACCGATGTAAAAGATTTACAAACTTCGGCTTAGGTTTCTGAAACGAAATAACGTGCGGTGAAAATGCTTTCATGCCGAATAGAGATTTTAGCGTGAGTTCAGCGTTTCAGTTACTGAAATAACAAATTTGACAGCTTGCGGTCCGCAATTTAACTTTCGGTGATGTTATAATACTCGCTTCAAAATCTGTTCTAATTGATCGAGACATTAACATGATTCATTAACGCCGAGAAACGAGTATATGTTTTATTGCACTTGCAAGTAAATAAATTCTAATAACAATTACTATCCTCGCTTTTCTATCTTCGCTTTTAGCACAATGATAATTATCTCGAACAATTCTCCAGCCAGTTTGTATACACATTAAGTAAAAGTGAAGAAGCAACACAATTTTAAATTGCACATTGTCTTTCAAATTCTCAGAATTCGTGTAATTTAGATTATATGTTTTAGTTTATAGAATGCATTCGTTATAGAAATATTATTTTACACGCAACAAAAGACAAGCTACCCTATACCACTATATAGCCATACCGAATTATTTTACTTCTCAACTACTGCAGACGAGTAGAAGAACGGAAATATTTGCTTGTTTCCATTTACACGGCCAGCCCCGTGTAATGAAGATTAGTAATTCAAATGAGAACATCTAAATGTGAAACTATTCAGGGAGGAGTTCAGCTTTTTATACCACGAACATCGCTTCGTTTAAATGAAATAGAACAGAACACAATCACCGACGAAAAAATTCGATCGTTTGCTAATGAACAATAATAAATGCCGTTTTCTGAGTAAAGAAGAAGCAAATA